CTTCTTGTGTGGGAATTAGATCTGTTGCCTGGAATTCCAGCGGACATATTGTCACCACAAATTAACTTTGAGACTGGAAGCCTCACCTGAAGGATAGCACAGAAGAGAGATTAGAAAGAGCTTGGGTCCCCAGTGAAGTCATGGAACCATCATTCCATCCCTACAATGACTCATTCTTGGCTCATTATGTGAGAAAAATAAAACCCGTATTTATTTAAGCCACTTTTTTCATCTCTAGTTATCAGAATTGAATGCAAACCCTAACTGATACATAAGCCAACAGAAAATCAGAAGGATTTGACAAGATGATTCACAGAACAAAACCAAATGATCAATCAACATATGTAAAGATGCTCAAATTCACCTATTATTCAGGGAAATGCAATTTAAAGTATCAATGTGATATCATTATACCCATCACATTGGCACAGATTTAAAGAGTGATAACACCTAAATCTTCATCACCTCTTTTACCCATCCCCCATCCACCTCCCTTTTGGTAACCATCACCTTGTTCTCTATAGTTAGAGTTTGTTTCTTGGTTTGCCCCCCTGTCTCTCTCTTTCTCTCTCTTTTTCTCCTCTGCTCATTTGTTTTGTTTCTTAAATTCCACCTATGAGTGAAATCATATGGTGTTTGTCTTTCTATGACTGACTTATTTTGCTTAGCATAATACTCTCTAGCTCCATACACATCGTTGCAAATAGCAAGATTTCATTCTTTTTTATGGCTGAGTAATATTCCATCTGATCCAGTGTATCATTCAAAGCCATTGTTTCCTTGTTGATCTTCTGCTTAGGTGATCTGTCCATTGATATAAGTGGGGTGTTAAAGTCCTGTATTATTGTATTATCATCAGTGAGTTTCTTTAGGTTTGTTATTAATTGATTTATATATTTGGCTGTTCCAAGTTGGAGGCATAAAATTTACAGTTGTTAGATCTTGTTGTATAGACCCCTTTATTATGATATAGTGCCTTTCTTCATCTCTTATAACAGTTTTTTGTTTAAATCTAGTTTGTCTGATGTAAGTATGGCTACTCCAGCTTTCTTTTGATGTCCATTAATATGATACATTATTCTTCAATTTATCTTCAATTGTTTTTTCAATCTGGAAGTGAGTTTGGGGCTAAAATGAGTTGCTTGTAAGCAGCATATCAATGGGTCTTTTTTTTTTAATCCATTCTGACCCTATGTCTTTTGATTAGAGCACTTAGTCCATTTACACTTACAGTAATTATTGATAGATATGAATTTAGTGTCATTGTATTACCTGAAAGTCGCTACTCATGTAGATTGTCTCTGTTCTTTTCTAGTCTTTGTTGCTTTTGGTCTCTCTTTCCTGGTCAAAGTGTTCCTTTTAATAATTCTTGCAGAGCTTGTTTAGTGTTCATGAACTCCTTTAGTTTTTGCTTGTCTTGGAAACTCTGTACCTCTCCTTCTATTCTGAATGGCAGACTTGCTGGATAAGGTATTATTGCCTGCATATTTTTCTGTTTAGTACATTGAATATATCTTGCCACTCCCTTCTGGCCTGCCAGAAGGCCTGTGGACACATCTGCTTCTAACCTTATATGTCTACTTTTGTAGGTTAACGACATTTTGTCTCTAGCTGCTTTCAGAATTATCTCTTTGTTTTTGTATTTTGAAGGTTTCACTATGATATGTCTTGGTGTTGACCTGTCTTTGTTGATTTTGAGGGGAGTTCTCTGTGCTTCTTGGACTTGAATGCCTGTTTCCCTTCCCCCCAGATTAGGGGTTCTCAGATATAAAACCTTGTGTCCCCTTTCCCCCTTCTTCTTCTTCTTCTGGAACTCCTATAATATGGATAGTATTGCACTGTATACAATCGCTGAGTTCCCTAAGTCTATATTTGTGATCCAATAGTTTTCTTTCTCCCTCCTTTTCAGCCTCATCATTTTCCATAATTTTATATTCTGTATAACCTATTCATTCATTTACTTCTTCTGTCCTTGTTGTGATTACATCCACTCAGTTTTACATCTCATAGCATTTTTTTTTAAATTTTGGCCTAATTTTTAGGTTTTTTTTTTCTCTGCATCAAGGGTTTCTCTGGTATATTCTGTGATTTTTTTCAAGCCCATCTACTATTCTTATGACTGTTTTTCTAAATTCTTGTTAAGATATATTATTTATATCTATTTTGAGTAAATCCTTGACTGTGGTTGCTTCTTGATCTTTTTTTGGGGGGAGAATTAATCTATCTTGTAATTTTATCTAGGTTTCTGTCTTTTGTGTGTATGAAAGCTTGTTATGTTTCATGTTCTTGAGAGTAATGCTATAGTAAGAAGGGTTTATACAATGTCCAGGGCCTGGCACTTCAGGAAGTGTTTCTGGTATATGCTATGTGGCCTCTGCTGCTGTAAATTGTCTGTCAGTCCTCTGCAGAGTTCCTCCTTGCTTTAACTGGGGAGTGTTTGGACCTTTAACTAGGTATGCTTTGATTTGTTTGTTAAAAGAAACCTGCCACGTTCTCTCCCCCAAATTATGCAGATTGTTCTCTTAATCCTCAGATTAATTTCTTAGGTGTGCAAAATGATTTGATGTTGATCTAGCTGTGTTCAAGGGACAAGACAAGCCCAGGGTCCCTTTACTACTCTGCCATCTTAAATCCTCTTTCTTGGCTGAGTAATATTCCATACACCATATATATACCACATCTTCTTTTTTATTTTAGAGAGAGAGGGAGAGAGACTGAGCAGGGGAGAGGGGCAGAGGGAGACAGAGAGAGAGAGAGAGAGAGAGAGAGAGAGAGAGAGAGAATATCAAGCAGGCTCTGTGTCATCAGCACAGAGGCCAACTAGGGGCTCGATTTCATGAACTGTGAGATCAGGACCTGAGCCAAAATCAAGAGCTGAATGCTTAACCGACTGAGCTTCCCAGGCACACCAGTATTTTTGTATTCTTTGCATAAATACCCAGTAGTACAGTTACTGGGTCATAGGGTAGTTCAATTTTTAGTTTTTTGAGGAACCTCCATACTGTTTTCCACAAACTGCACTAGTTTACATTCCCACGAACAGTACAAGAGAGTTCCTTTTTCTGCATATCCTCAACACCACTTGTTGTTCCTTGTGTTGTTGATTTTAGCCACTCTGACAGGTGTGAGGTGATATCTCATTGTAGTCTTGATTTGCATTTCCCTGATGATGAGTGATGTCGAGCATCTTTTCATGTGTCTGTTGGCCATGTGGATGTCTTCTTTGGAAAAATATTAATTCACATATTCTGCCCATTAAAAAAGTTTATTTTGAGAGAGACAGAGACAGTGCAAGTGGGGGAAGGACAGAGAAAGAGGGAAAGAGAGAGAATCCCAAACAGGCTCTGCACTGCCAGTACAGAGCCTAATGCGAGGCTTGAACCCATGAAGCTCCAAGATCATGACCTGAGGCAAAACTAAGAGATGCCTAACCGACTGAGCCATCCAGGTGCCCTTCTTCTGCCCTTTTTAAACTGGATTATTTTGTTTTTGGGTGTTCAGTTTTATAAGTTCTTTATATATTTAAGATACTAATCCTTTATCAGATATGTCATTTGCAAAGATCTTCTCCCATCCCACAGGTTGCCTTTTAGTTTTGTTGATTGCTTCCTTCACTGTGCAGAAGTTTTATATTTTGATTAAGTCCCAACAGCTTATTTTTGCTTTGTTTTCCTTGTCTCAGGAGACATATCTAGTAAGAAGTTGCTATGGCCAATATCAGAGAAGTTGCTGCCTGTGTTCTCCTCTAGGATTTTGATAGTTTCCTGTGTCACATTTAGGTCTTTAATGCATTTTTTAAAAAAAATTTTTATTGTGGAAAAAATATATAAAATCTGCCATTTTAAGCATTTTTTATGTTTACAATTCAGTGACATTAATTACATTCACTGTGTTGTGCAACCATCACTACTGTCTTTTTTTTTCAAGTTTTTGTTTAAATTCTAGTTAGTTAACATATATGGTAAAATTGATTTCAGGTGTAGAAATTTAGTGATTCATCACTTACCTATAATACCCAGTGCTCATCACAAGTGCCTTCCTTAATCCACTTTGAATTTACTTTTGTGTACTGTGTAAGAAAAGGGTCCAATTTCATTCTTTTGCTTGTTGCTGTCCAGTTTTCCTAACACCATTTGTTAAAGACACTATCTTTTTCCCATTGGATATTGTTTTCTTCTTTGTCAAAGATTAATTGACCATACGGTTGTGTGTTCATTTCTGGGTTTTCTATTCTGTTCTATTGATCTATGTGTCCATTTTTGTGCCACTACCGTACTGTCTTGATCACTACAGCTTTGTAATATAACTTGAAGTCTGTAATTGTGATGCCTCCAGAAACAGACCCATAAATACACAGCATAAATCACTGGTTGCCAGAGGTTAAAGGGGTGGAGGATGTGTGAAAATGGGTGAAGAGAAATGGAAGATATAGACTTTCAGTTATGGAATGAATAAGTCATGTGAATAAAAGGCACAGATAGCATAAGGAATATAAAAGTACTTTGAAATGTTAAATTTAATATCTTTGTGTATTTAAAGTTGAAGGGGGGAAGTTTATGCTTAGTAGACATAATATTTCTCAACCTGCAGAGCTTAGAGATCAGACCGAATCAAAAGCTGTTTCCAAACTGAAGATCTTGTGAGGGCTCTACAATAAAACAAGTCGAATTTCTATCAGTATAAATTCCCCCAAACTTCATTATGGCTGAAATTCCCTGCCTTCCCAAGGTTTCTAAATCTATCTTTTGCCCTTTCCTTATAGACTGCTTACAACTCAGAAAGTTTTAATACCTTTACATATATTAAATAAGTAATTCTGTAGTAAAGGTGTGTAGTCATATATAGAGTAATCAAGGGGATCTTTGAAAACTTTGCTAGAAAAATAGCAAAAGAGAGGCCAACAGTGAAAAAAAGATGTCTAGAAGAATTCTCAATCTGCAATAAATAGGGCAATACAATAGATTTTCTCAACAACAATAATATCCTGTAGAATGCTGTACCTTGGAGGAGCCAGTGTCTGCTCTAGAAACTCCTCAATTTTAATGAAGTCTGTTTTCAACTCCTTGTTATACACCAGGAAGGGAGGATTGGTGCCTGGGGCTAAGTCTTTCAGCTCTTCAGGCTTTCTATAATTATTGAAAATAAGTAGAGTTAAGCCTTTAGATATAGTACACATTATACAAACACAAACATTATATTGGTGTCTACCAATTTCACTCTCCAGAATGAAACATGTCCTGATTTCTCTTACCTGGTCATGTCAACAGTAGTTACATTGAATTTAACTCCTTTAAGCCAGAGGATCATAAAAAGGCGTTGGCAAAAGGGACAGTTTCCAATACTCTCCCCATCACTTCCAGCCTGTTAAGATAAAGGAAGGCCTCATTCATTCATTTGCTCAGTACGTATTGAGTGCCTACTGGGAAATGAACCAGTTGCTAGAGATAACCTTAATCTCATGGATTCTATTATCTGTGGGCAGACGGAGATAATGAATCAAATAAGTTTATTGTATTTAAAATGACAAGTCTGATTAGTACATAATAATAATAGTTTGTTTTATATATTACCAGAGTATATATAATATAACCATTTCCTGTTGATGGGCATTTCAGATATTCCAAAATTTTTGCTATCCTAAATATTTCAGCAGCAAATATTTTGGGGCATATAATTTGTTCCACTGCTGAGATTATATCTTTAGAATTAATATTTAAAATGAGAATGTTGAAAAAAGACATTTTCCGTTTTAATAGATCCTGCCAAATTTCCTTCCTGAGAGACATTTTCCATATGTTTATTGCCCATTTGATTGCCTTATTTTGTGAAGTGTTTGTTCATGACAATCTTACATTTTTTTCTATTAAAGTGAGGACATTTTCCTTATTGATTTGAAAAATTTATTTACATACTGAAGATATTAACACTTTTTGATACACAGTACATGTATTTTAAAACATGGCCTATGTGAAATTTAGATTTTACATAAAATCTATTACTTTTTTCCTCTGTGCAGTCTAGTTTTTCTGATCTGCTTACATGACTATTATATACATAAAGATTACAAAAAATATTCCACCTTTCTTATTTTGTTTTAGTATAAAGATGTTCTCTTATGTTTTCTTTTAGTACCTTCATGGTTTCATTTTTGGCATTTGTTTCATCGATTTGGAATTTATTTTGGCAGAGTTATATTGGGACTTTAGCCTATGTATTCAATTTGTTTTTTTACAAATAGATAATAGTTAAAAAAATTTTTTTAACATTTATTTATTATTGAGAGACACAGAGCATGAGCAGGGGAGGGGTAGAGAGAGGGGAAGACACAGAATCCGAAGCAGGCTCCAGGCTCCGAGCTGTCAACACAGAGCCCGACGTGGGGCTCAAATTCACAAACTGTGAGATCATGACCTGAGCCAAAGATGGTCGCTTAACCAACTGAGTCACCCAGGCGCCCCAGTTAATAGTTGTTTTAACACCATCTATTTAAAGATCCATCTTTTGCCCAGCATTACGCTGATGCCAAAACCACACAAAGACACTATAGAAACAGAAAACTACAGGTCAATATCCCCGATAAACATAGATGCAAAAATCCTCAACAAAATGTTAGCAAATAGCATTTAACAATACATTAAAATTATACTTTGCCAAGATCAGGTGGAATTTATTCCAAAGGTGCAAGGATGGTTTAAAATTCAAAAATCAGTCAATGTGATACAGGATATTAACCAAAAAAAAAAAAAAAGGATTAAAACCATATGACTATCTTAATAGATGCAGAAAAACCATTTGACAAAATACAACATCCATCCATGATAAAAACTCTCAATAAAATTGATTTGGAGGAATATATCTCAACATAATAATGAAATATATGAACGCTCCACAGCTAACATCATATTCACTGGTGAAAAATTGAAAGCTTTTCCTCTAAGATCAGGAATAAGACAAGGATGTCCAGTCTCACCACTTTTATTCAACATAGTACTGGAAGTCCTAGCTGCAGTAATCAGACAACAAAAAGAAATAAAAGGCATCCAAATTGATAAAGAAGAAGTAAAAATGTCACTATTTGCAGATGACATAATACTCTATGTAGAAAACCCTAAAGACTACACACACACACACACACACACACACACACACACACTATTAGAACTAATAAATGAATTCAGTAAAGACCCAGGATACAAAATTAATATACAGAAATCCGTTGCATTTCTAAACACCAATAATGTAGTAGCAGAAAGAGAAATTAAGAAAACAATCCCATTTACAATTACATTAACAAGAATAAAATACCTAGGAATAAATTTTACCAAGGAGGTGAATGACCTATACTCTGAAATCTATAAGACACTGATGAAAGAAATTAAAGATGACACAAACAAATAGAAAGATATATTGTGCTCATAGATTGGTAGAATTAATATAGTTAAATTTTGTTAAAATGTCCATAGTACACAAAACCATCTACAGATTCAATGCAATCTCTATCAAATGCTGATGGCATTTTTTGCAGAACTGGAATAGTTGTAAAAATTTGTGTAGAATCACAAAAGACCCTGAATAGCCAAAGTAATCTTGAGAAAGAACAAAGCCACAGGTATGCTCACTGATTTCAAACTATACTACAAAGCTATAATAATCAAAACAGTATGGTACTGGCACAAGAATAGACACATAGATCAATGAAACAAGATAGCCGAGAAATAAATCCATGATTATATGGTTAATTAACCTATGACAAAGGAGGCAATAATAATCAATGGGGATAAGACAGTCTTTTCAATAAATGGTACTGGGAAAACTCGACAGCTACATGTATAAGAATGAAATTGGACCACTGGCTTTTTTTTTTACACCACACACAAAAATGAATTCAAAATGGATTAAAGTCCCAAATATAGGATCTGAAACCATAAAATTCCTAAAGGAAAACATAGGCAGCAATCTCTTGGACATCAGCTTTAGCAACATATTTATGGCTATGTCTCCTGAGGCAAGGTAAACAAGCAAAAATAAGCTATTGGGACTACACCAAAATGAAAAGCTTTTGCACGGCAAAAGAAACTTTTAACAAAACAAAAAGGCAACCTCCTGAATGAGAGAATATATTTTCAAATAATACATCTGATTGGGGGGGGTAATATCCCAAATATGTTAAAAACTGCTGGGGCGCCTGGGTGGCCCCTTCGGTTAAGCATCTGACTTCAGCTCAGGTCTTGATCTCATGGTTCATGAATTTGAGTCCCCACGTTGGGCTCTGTGTTGACAGCTCCGATCCTGGAGCTTACTTTGGATTCTGCCTCCATCTCTCTCTGTCCCTCCCCCACTTGCACTCTGTCTCCCTCTCTCTCAAAAATAAATAAACACTAAAAAAAAAGAACTTATACACCAAAAAATAAAAAAAAATCTAATTAAAAATGAAGACCTGAATAAACATTTCTCCAAAGAAGACATACAGATAGCCAACAGAGAAATGAAAAGATGCTCAATATCACCAATCATTAGGGAAATGTAAGTCAAACCCACAATGAGATATCACCTCATAGAAATCAGAATGGCTAGTGCCAAAAAGATAAGAAATAACAAGTGTTGGAGAAAAGGGAACACTTGTGTACTTTTGGTGGGAATGTAAATTGGTCCAAGCACTGTGGAAAACAGCATGGAGGTTCCTCAAAAAATTAGAAATAGAAATACCATATGATCCAGTAATTCCAGTATTGGGTACTTACCCAAAGAAAAAGAAAACACTAATTTGAAAATATATATGCACCCTGTGTTTATTGCAGCACTATTTATAATAGCTAAAATACGGAAGCAACCCAAGTGTTTAGTAATAGATGAAAGGACTATTGGGCATAAAAAAGAATGAGATCTTGCCATTTGTGATAACATATATGGACCCAGAGGGCATTATGCTAAGTGTAATAAGTCAGGCAGAGTAAGACAAGAACCATATGATTTCACTTATATGTAAAATCTAAAACACAAAACAAGCAAGCAAGCAGACAAACAACCCCCTCAAACAAGCCTGATCTCTAGATATAAAGAACAAACTGCCAAAGGGGAGGTGAGTGGAAGTGGGCAAAGTAGACAAAGGAAATTAAGAGATATAAACTTCCAGTTATAAAATAAATAAGCCATGGAGATGTAAAGCCCACCATAGGAAATATAGTCAATCATATTGTAATAATGTTGTTTGGTGACAGATGTTGACTACACCTACCACGATGAACACTGAGTAATGTATAGAATTGTCAAATCAACATGTTATTTACCTGAAACTAATATAACATTTTATGTCAACTATACTTCAATAGTAAGAAAAATAATGGTGAAAAAAATGAAAAGCCATCTTTTGTTCATTGAAAACAACACATTTTTCTGCTTTGAAATTTTATGTAAACTTGAGTTTATCTGTGGTCCCTCCATTCTTCACTTATCCATTCAGTCTCCCAGTAAATATTTAAC